GAATGGGACTAGATTTATCCAGGATATCTGGTCCAGCATGGACAAGATGGACCAAAGGGTCTGTCTCCATGCTGTACAACTCTATGACTCTAGTCTCTCTGCAGAGCTTCAGCTAAATCTCCTCCTCACTGTTTCTGTCCTGAGGTTGCAAAAGGCTGCTTTGAAAAGCAAGGCTAGCTTTTCTTCATAACTGTTCTAAATTCCAAGCTAATAAATAATGCACAAACTGAGGAACTGTCAGATGACCTGGGACAATTTAGAAAACCACTACAGAACAGAAACCAACGATCTATAAGTTAGTGAGAACAGAGGAGTTTTGTACAAGTCTAAGGTAGACAAACAGGAGGTTGGAAGAGCACAGCAAGCCAAGCAGTGTCTGGTGGGAAGGAGAAGTCAACGTTGACTTGTCTTTCATCCAGATACCGCCTGGCCTGTTGTGCTCTTCCAATCTCCTACTTGTCTACTTTTGATTCCAGTTTTTTTGTCTCTTCTTCAAGTCTAAACCCTGTTGTTACTGAAGTTGACATAAGAATTAAATGTAGAACTCTTAAACTAGCCTGGTGCAGTAAACTGTAATCTACTTAAAGTAGATTTTTTTATTCACTCGTGGGATGGTTCATGTATTTATTCATGACTGCTAGCTGTCGATAGAAGTCGTTGCCTTTTACATGGACTCGGAATTATTTAAGCTGCTACTTTGTTTTCTTTAAAAGTCTCGATATGCAAGTGTGGGTTTGAAGGAGGAGAGGTCACACGATATCAGTTGGAGATGCACTGTTCTCTGAGGCAATGATGTGGGTTCATTAGCAAACCAAATGATTCTTCCAGTTTTATGAGAATCATATAGTTTTCAATATTTCCCAATGCAGATTTGTTTACCTCACAGAATTCGATTCCCTGTCTGTCATTGTCAGATTTGACCTTGCGTCTTTGGATCATCAAGGCCTCAGGAATACCAGTCCTTTCACATAAACACACTACCATTCCCTGCTAGGAGAGATAGTAGGAACTGCAGATGCTGGAGAATCTGAGATAACAAGGTGTAGAGCTGGATGAACACAGCAGGCCAAGCAGCATCAGAGGAGCAGGAAGGCTGACGTTTTGGGCCTAGACCCTTCTTCAGAAATTCAGATTTTCTGAAGAAGGATCGAGGCCCGAAAC